TTTCCCTTTGTAGGTTCCCAATAATATCTTCAGTTTCTCCACACACTGCTCCCTTTCCTCCAAAAAGAAGTTTACACCTAAAAAAACAAGACAAGAAAATCATGAACATCTCAAGTTTTTTTTAAATTTTTAACTCTTATCCCTAAAGTATTTCAGTGAAATTTAATAAGTTTACCTAAGTTGATCTTTCACTTCTGCTCCCCTAAAGAGGATGTAAAAGTGGCAGGCTTTTTCAGATTTTGGCCTTAGTTTGCAGCTCGGAAATAAATAGAGTGTGTTTTGTAGGTTTGATGGTGGTCTAGATTTTGTGCCTGATACCCCCGTTCTCTTTTTTTTCTGGGTCTTGGCTAGCTGACGCTAAGGGGAATTCGTGGAGCTCTGATCCCACTCGTATTTATGTGCCTCCCTTTTGGCTTTTTTTTCTGCTCTGCAGCCAACAGGGGCCCAGATGGTGGGTAAATAGTCATGGGAAATAATCCTGATCCTCACGGGACAGGGGGATTTTGTTCTTTATCCCAATGAAAAAGGGGGTTGGGCCCCAGTTATCCCGGGGGAACGTTCTAAACCCCATGTGTCCCCGAAAAAAAATTTTTCCCATGTCAAGTTGTGACCAAAAACAAAATGCAAAGTGACAATGCTGGTCAAAGTCTTTCTCCCGCAGAGAACATCATTGCAATAGATCCCGTTGTATAGCCATATTTGATAGGCCTTTTTACGGGAAAACTGGTCATGGCAAGAGCTATAGATCACCTAATCAATCCTATTTGGAGGGCCCAAAAACAAAACACTCGCGGAGATCCTTAAAATGGAAATTTGAAAAATTTCTCTTCAAATAATTTAAAATGTTTTTGGAAAAAAAAGAAAGGGTTTTGGGCAATTCTGTAAAGGTTCCCAAATGAGTTATTGATCAGATGGTTGTCGTTTGGTACTGATGCCCTAAAACCCTCTCTCTTCCCCCCCATGGCTGGATGTGATGGGAAACAGCCATGGGCTTTGTGAGAGAGACCACTTATTTTCTGGGCTAGCAGGCTGCATTCAGAAGGGGGAACCATGTGTCCCTGTGGGTCCCCGCTCCAGAGGAGGGGCGTGCGAGGGGGACGCTCAGCGTTGTGAAGGAGCCGGTGCGTGGAGTCAGGGAGGAAAGGGGCGCGGGGTCCTGGGGAAAAATTTAGCAGTAACAACAGACAGGAGGGCATCATAACCTCACCGCGTACACTCGATGGGGTCACTTTCCGCGGTCCCCCGGAGAACAGATCAGTCTGAAAAGACTCCCAAACTTTACAAATTTTAGTAGAATACCAGCTTTTTTAAAGTTGGTTTTTTCCCATGCTTTTTGAACCCCGTGAAGTCTCACACGGTAAGTTTGTGAATGGCGTAACCCCCTTCATATTTTTGCCCCAACATCGGCAGCAATTGGGGGTCCCATTTTCCCAATTTTCAACAGCGTCTTGGGTCTCTCTCCATCACCCCCCCCTTTTCCCACCTTTTCCCCTGAGACATGACCTTTGGCCCCCAGAATAAGAACCGAGCATTTTGGCAGCTTCACACCCTCATTGTCCTCCCAAGCTCCCCTTTTGCACAGACTGTGAAAAACTCCAACAACCCCAAGACCCACCATTCTATCAGATTAGGGACTATATATGGAAAGGTTAACCCAGACAATCAGATCCCCCCATACAGAGACCCTACAGCAAGGATCCACCCAGGCACCACAATCACTTCACTATGATCTACTTAATAGCACTGGACTTGACCAAAAAGGTAAATTGGTTACAAAAGTGTCACTTGTGTCAGTATTTGCTTGAATACGCGATTCATGTCAGTTTTGTTGTATTCAAATAATTATTAATGTTCCTCTCCTTCTTGCAGCAAGAAAGCCCGTGGTTGAAAATTACGCAGAGATCGATCACAACACGACAGCTCAAGTCCTGGTCCAGAAATCCCCCCCACGCCGTTTTAAATGGGGGAAAGCCGACATCCTGGAGATGACAGTTTTCTTGCTGAGACAACAGCAAAAGTCCCAGCCAGTGAGCTGCCTCTCACTCCTCTCAAGTGTCATGAGTGACCCAGGTGTGTCCAAGATATATGCACTCCTGTCCAAGGATGAGGTGAAGACACAGTCCCAGAGAAGACTGCTGAGCCACTTCCAGAGCCTGCAGCCATCCTCTGATAAGAACAGGAGGGAGAGTGACCTGCCTCAGTTGAGCTCCCCAGCCCACACAGCTCAGCAAAGAGAACAGTCCAGTCAACAGCGCTCGCTGGAGGCCCTGGTCAGAGTCCTACAGACTGGAGCTCCACTCTGATCAAACTCAATGGACCATGTTGGTCTAACTTAATGCATGGACAGTGATCATAGATCACGCAGGATGTTTAAAAGTCTGTTTTTGATCGAAATTGTCATTATAGTTGTACTGAACAAGTAAATAGTTTTGACAAGAAAACGATTGTGAAACTATGAAACATTGCGTTTCTGAAATGTAATAACATTTATGTTTGTGAAGCATGTGTTCATTATGTTGACATGTGCTTATTAATGATCAGCATCAACTTTCAATGGTCCTCCATGAGGACCTTAAATCCAAAATGGGTATTTCATCATCAATCTTTTTGTGATTATCGATTACCAATCTGTTTAAAGGTCAGTACGTATTCAAGAATGAGACATTTTGTTACACTACATTTTTGTAGTGATATGATCATTTTGACATTATATTGAGCATCTTCTGTTAAGTATGTATCAGTATTAGTTAGGCATTTGTTATTGATCAACTTGAGCTACATCATCACTGATCCTCCATGAGGATTATTTACCCAAACTGGTATTATACCTGTTATCATCACTATGTGATTAGAAATAATTGATCTATTTTAGATCAGACTTTATGTGTGAAAATGTTGCTCACATTATTTGAATAATTGTATATTGTAAAGGGGAGAAAATGTTTTCTCTCAATGTGAAACCTTTGTGTTATTTTAAACAATATGTTGTCTTTTATAAAGACAGTAACTGTGTATCCTATGCTCTGTTAGAGTATCATATGTCTTGGAGATTGATCGAAGTTGTGGTTTTGATGTGGTAATCACCTAAAGTATTCACCTTAATTTGAGGTGTTTCAAATCTATGATGTTGGACTCTGAGTCAATGTCAATAAATCTCAAAATAATAAAATGTAATCATTTGTTATTGTCCTTGATCTTTCCTCCTGTCATCAACATATTGACTGTGGCCTACAACACAGATCTACTGTATGAGTCATACTTACTATTACAATGATTTGTTATGAAGTGTTGGAAGTTGAAATATTGCATCACAATCAAGTAATCTACAGTGGTCCCAGTTTTGAGCAGGAACAGAAATAGTGATGCTTTTAAATGTCTAAGAGGAAAAGACCCATGGTGTGGACATGAAGCTAGAGTTAGAGTTAGGATTAGGGTTATGGTTAGGGTTGAGCCGGGGTGTGGACATTAAGCTAGAGATAGGGTTAGGGTTGAGCCGGGGTTGTGGACATGAAGCAAGAGATAGGGTTAGCGTTAACGTTATGGTTAGGTTTCAGCCGGGGGTGTGGACATTAAACTAGGGTTAGGATTACGGTTAGGGTTATGGTTTAAGGTTGTGGTTTAATCAACATGTCACTTTTATATCATTAATCAAATGTAGGTCAGAACCAAGACAAGTGCTATCTATAGTTCTCACTATTCTTTAACTCTAATTATTTACTCAATCCTAGTTTTTCAGGGAACCTTCTCTAGGACCGGATGCTTCTTTGGTAATTGAAGCATATATAATGGTTTCATAGGCACCAGACTGAACTGAATACCTAACATGATGCATTATAATAAGGCACACTTCTATTGTTCCTCCATTGAGAGCAGTGAATGGAGAGAGTGTGGGAACCAAGGAAACTCACTCACAGACCCCCTTTGGGACAATATACTCAGACCTCTGGACCCTGTATGATGAGGGGTAGAAGAAGAACCCTTTTTTGGTTCTAGATTGCAAAAACTAATTCTAAGAGTTTACATTCCAAAATGCAAAATAATCATGAATAGGTAGCAGCGTTTTTAATGTTTCACATATTGCAACCAGGGCTGTGGAAGCAGGGGCTATGTGACCGTGGTTAACCTTATCTTCATCAGTTGAAATTAGACAATGAATTGTAAGGATTGCACAAGTGTTTTTTTATTATGACAGGGTGTAAGAGGAATTAGGTAACAGATCAGGAAAGACATATAACACTTTATTCAAAACGATCAAATTGTAGAATCAAAGATGATAAATCTTCTATCTAAAACGTATATGCTTGAAATATTTTCTGTATTCAGTCCAATCTTGACTATCTCTGAATGGCCATATACTGTAACAAGTCTATATCATCCAATAGTCAAAATGTTTGTATTTACTACCTTCTTAATTGATGTATGTCTGATTTTTTTTTTTTTACATTTCCCCCAGGGGCTTGATGGGAACTGCTTGTGTCGAGATGAATTAGCATTTAACAAGGCACAGTTATGTTGTTTAGTGGAAGCTCTGTCAATGGAGTGTGGGAAAGCTCTGGAGAGCAGAGTCTCAGTCTAGTGTCATCATCATCATCAGTCCCATCAGCACCTGTCTGTCTGGGAAACACCCAGAACCACTCGGGAATAGGCACACTTATAGAAGGGAATTAAACAATAGCTGAATACATCAGTTTCTCCAGGGTATAAACGTATCTTTCTTTCTCCTTCTCTACTGTATTCCTATGGGGTGGAAGCTGAATCAAGACATTATATTATATCTAAAACATCATTTGTGTGAAACTCTGCATACTTGTTTTAAACTTTTTAATTTCAATATTAAGTTTCTCCAAAATCACAATCTGAATGTAAACAAGTTGAACATTAACATACAAATAAAATCAAAAATCAATTAAATTACATAATGTAGAAATGAACACAGACACAGTATATGTTTTGCAGCACACTTTTAGGATAAAATCAAGTGTGCTGATGTTTCCCTCCAGAATCCAGATGGTCTGTGATGTCATACTCTGTCTATAGTACAACACAGAGCCAATAGCCGTCACTGATGGTCCACTGAGCAGCTTTTGTAGTGCATTGATCACAGCACACAGGACTTAGTGTGGGAAACTCAGATCAGCTCTCTACTCACACGGACCAGTAGCCCTAAGACAGAGGACACATCTGCTACCTCTGGACTCCAGAGTGCTTTGACCATGTAATTACTACTACTGACCTTCGAGACCTCATGATATTGATACAATATCTAACCTGTGAACTGAACAACAAGCTATATCTCTCTGGATATCCACTTACTTACTATATTAGAGAGTCGTCATATTTGACTCAATAAATAATATAGAATACAATAGAATACAAATTAGATTCAGCACGACAGAAAAGTATAAGTATTTGTTCCTTTTCATCAATGACAAAATGTAAAACTATATACAATATCATTTTTGTCAGCGGTCACATCAATTGTGAGATAATTACATTTACATTATTTAGCAGACGCTCTTATCCAGAGCGACTTACAGTTAGTGCACACATTATTCTTTTTTATACTGGCCCCCCGTGGGAATCGAACCCACAACCCTGGCGTTGCAAACGCCATGCTTTACCAACTGAGCTACCTCCCTGCCGGCCATTCCCTCCCCTACCCTGGACGAATTGTGCGCCGCCCCATTGGTCTCCCGGTTGCGGCCGGCTACAGCAGAGCCTGGATTCGAGCCAGGATCTCTAGTGGCACAGCTAGCACTGCGATGCAGTGCCTTAGACCACTGCGCCACTCGGGAGACTAAATAACATAAATAATAATAAGATGTGACTGAATCAGTAATAAAGCATTGAAACACTATACATTCAACAATGTCCTCATAGGTGGGGACGAAGTTACACTGTACATTTAATGTAGAGGTTCTGTGTCAGTCTCACACATGTAAGTTGTGATGATGTGTGTGTGCTCTCTCAGTATCATTGATCCCAACATCAGGCAGCAGATCTGGGGGTCACCAGTTTCCCAGATTCACACAGCGCTCTGTGAGACAATCTCCATCACACCCCATCACTCCACCTGTTCCCTGAGATGTGACAATTGTCCCCCAGAAATAAGAACACTGAGCATTTGGCACCTCCACATTACTCACTGTCCTCCCAAACTCACACATTGGCTACAGACTGTGAGAAACTCCAACAAGCCCAAGACCCACACATTCATATGTAGATTATGGACTATATATAGGAGAGATGAAGCCAGTAGGAATCAGATTCACTCTACACAGAAACCTCTACAGCACAGAGATCCAGCCATGGCACCTACAATAACTTCAGCAGTGATCTACTCTAACGAGCACCTGACTCTGACAAGATAAATTGAAGAATCAATTTCAAGGAAATTAATCTAATTTGATTGATTATTTATTTGTTTCAATAATGCCATATTTCAGAATAAGATTATTAATGACTCTCCTCTTCTTGTAGCTAACAAAGCCAGTGATGGAGAAGTTACGCACAGATCGTATCAACAGCAGCATTGAGCAGCTCAAGTTTCTCCTGGGTCAAGAGATCCTCAACCAGCAGTCAGACTCCAAGCTGGAGAAAGCCGACATCCTGGAGATGACAGTTTGCTTGCTGAGACGACAGCAACAGAACCAGCCAGTGGGCTCCTGCTCAGCAGCTGTCAATCAGGGTTAATCCAGGTGTGTCCAAGAAACTGTGCATTTCCTGTCCAAGGATGAGGTTAAGACACAGACCCAGAGACTGCTGAGCCATTTCCAGAGCCTGCAGCCATCCTCTGATAAGAACAGGAGGGAGAGTGACCTGCCTCAGTTGAGCTCCCCACCCCAGCACAGCATCAGCAAAGAGAAGAGTCCAGTCAACAGCGCTCTCTGGAGGCCCTGGTAGAGTCCTACAGACTGGAGCTCCACTCAAATAAACTCGATGGACCATGTTGGTCTAACATTAATTTTACATTTAACATTTAAGTCATTTAGCAGACGCTCTTATCCAGAGCGACTTACAAATTGATGTCATGGACAGTGGTCAGAGATCTTCATCCTCTGCTTATACAGGATGTTTTAAAAGTCTTGCTGTTATTAAGACTTTTATTTTCTGTTGTACTGAACAAGTTATAACGTTTTTCTAAGAAATTGATCAAATTGATCATTGAATAATAACATTTATGTTTTGTGAAACGTGTTGAAATTGATCATGTGTTCATTCATGATCAACATGATCAACATCAACTTCTTTGGTCCTCCATGAGGACTTTTACCCCAAAATAGGTGTTATTTCATCAATCTGTTTGGGATTGTCTATGATTGATCTGTTTTTAAGGTGAAAATGTATAAGACAAAATTGTATTGAGCATGTTCTGTGAAGCATGTATCAGTTATATACAGTGGGGAGAACAAGTATTTGATACACTGCCGATTTTGCAGGTTTTCCTACTTACAAAGCATGTAGAGGTCTGTAATTTTTATCATAGGTACACTTCAACTGTGAGAGACGGAATCTAAAACAAAAATCCAGAAAATAACATTGTATGATTTTTAAGTAATTCATTTGCATTTTATTGCATGACATAAGTATTTGATACATCTGAAAAGCAGAACTTAATATTTGGTACATAAACCTTTGTTTGCAATTGCAGAGATCATATGTTTCCTGTAGGTCTTGACCAGGTTTGCACACACTGCAGCAGGGATTTTGGCCCACTCCTCCATTCAGACCTTCTCCAGATCCTTCAGGTTTCGGGGCTGTCGCTGGGCAATACGGACTTTCAGCTCCCTCCAAAGATTTTCTATTGGGTTCAGGTCTGGAGACTGGCTAGGCCACTCCAGGACCTTGAGATGCTTCTTAGTTGCCCTGGCTGTGTGTTTCGGGTCGTTGTCATGCTGGAAGACCCAGCCACGACCCATCTTCAATGCTCTTACTGAGGGAAGGAGGTTGTTGGCCAAGATCTCACGATACATGGCACCATCCATCCTCCCCTCAATACGGTGCAGTCGTCCTGTCCCCTTTGCAGAAAAGCATCCCCAAAGAATGATGTTTCCACCTCTATGCTTCACGGTTGGGATGGTGTTCTTGGGGTTGTACTCATCCTTCTTCTTCCTCCAAACACGGCGAGTGGAGTTTAGACCAAAAAGCTATATTTTTGTCTCATCAGACCACATGACCTTCTCCCAATCCTCCTCTGGATCATCCAGATGGTCATTGGCAAACTTCAGATGGGCCTGGACATGCGCTGGCTTGAGCAGGGGGACCTTGCGTGCGCTGCAGGATTTTAATCCATGACGGCATAGTGTGTTACTAATGGTTTTCTTTGAGACTGTGGTCCCAGCTCTCTTCAGGTCATTGACCAGGTCCTGCCGTGTAGTTCTGGGCTGATCCCTCACCTTCCTCATGATCATTGATGCCCCACGAGGTGAGATCTTGCATGGAGCCCCAGACCGAGGGTGATTGACCGTCATCTTGAACATCTTCTATTTTCTAATAATTGCGCCAACAGTTGTTGCCTTCTCACCAAGCTGCTTGCCTATTGTCCTGTAGCCCATCCCAGCCTTGTGCAGGTCTACAATTTTATCCCTGATGTCCTTACACAGCTCTCTGGTCTTGGCCATTGTGGAGAGGTTGGAGTCTGTTTGATTGAGTGTGTGGACAGGTGTCTTTTATACAGGTAACGAGTTCAAACAGGTGCAGTTAATACAGGTAATGAGTGGAGAACAGGAGGGCTTCTTAAAGAAAAACTAACAGGTCTGTGAGAGCCGGAATTCTTACTGGTTGGTAGGTGATCAAATACTTATGTCATGCAATAAAATGCAAATCAATTACTTAAAAATCATACAATGTGATTTTCTGGATTTTTGTTTTAGATTCCGTCTCTCACAGTTGAAGTGTACCTATGATAAAAAAATTATAGACCTCTACATGCTTTGTAAGTAGGAAAACCTGCAGAATCGGCAGTGAATCAAATACTTGTTCTCCCCACTGTATGTGATAATGTTCAATCTGAGCTACAGCATCAATGGTCCTCCATGAGGACCTTTAACCCAAAATGGGTATTTTATAATCAATATTTTTGTGATTATCTATTACCAATCTGTTTAAAGGTCAACACGTATTCAACAATAAGCAATTTTGTTACACTACATTTTTGTAGTGATATGATCATATTGACATTATATTGAGCATCTTCTGTGAAGTATGTATCAGTTGTGACACTCTGGCTCCAGGGACTCTGATTGTTGAGCCAGGGTTGTTATTTTCATTTAGGGTGTATTTCTATGTTGGATCTAGTTGTTCATTTCTATGTTTGGTTTTGTTGTTGATTAGTCATATGACTCCCAATCGGAGGTAACGAGTGTCAGCTGTCGGCTCGTTATCTCTGATTGGGAGCCATATTTAAACTGTGGGGTTTCACCTGGGTTTTGTGGGTTTTTGTTCCATGTTTCTGTCAGTGTTACAGAGGACTTCACTATCGTCATTTGTTGTTTTTCGTGGTTGCTTTATTAAATAAAAGTAATCATGTTCACTCCACGCGCTGCGTATTGGTCCGCTTCTTCAGACGATCGTGACAGAAAAACCCACCATCAAAGGACCAAGCAGCGTGTGAAGCGGCAACAGGACCCAGCTCCAAAGGCTTCCTGGACATGGGAGGAGATTTTGGACGGAAAGGGGTCCTGGACTTGGGAGGAGATCCTGGATGGGATGGATCGCCGTCCATGGAGCGAAACGGTGGAGAGGCGACGGCGAGAGGAGCAACGGCGTCAGCAGGGCCATCATCGTTGGAAGGACGAGAGGCAACCCCAAAAAGTTTTTTGGGGGGGGCACATGGCTTGGACGACGGGGCTAACGGAGGCAGAGAAGGGGCGAATTCAAGAGGCAACCAGGTTACGGGGGTCACTGGCCAAAGTAGGGAAAGGAGATGTAGAGGCACGGCGTGAGAGACTGAGGTGTGTATCCAGTCCGGTCCGGCCCGTTCCAGTTCCCGGGGTAGAGCCAGTGGTGTGTGCCTCCAGTACGGTCCGGCCTGTTACGACCCCTCGCACCAAGGATACGGTGCGCTTCGCCAGCCCGGCCCGGCCTGTTCCGGCCACTCGCACCAGGGATACGGTGCGCTTCGCCAGCCCAGCCCGGCCTGTTCCGGCCACTCGCACCAGGGATACGGTGCGCTTCGCCAGCCCAGCCCGGCCTGTTCCGGCCACTCGCACCAGGGATACGGTGCGCTTCGCCAGCCCGGCCTGTTCCGGCCACTCGCACCAGGGATACGGTGCGCGTTGCCAGCCCTTTCCCACCAGTGCCTACACCACGCCCCAAGCCTCCTGTGTGTCTTCCGAGTCCTGTGCGTCCTGTTGCTGCTCTCCGCACTAGGCTTAATGTGAGTCCCCAGGGTCCAGCATGCCCTGTTCCGGCTCTCCGCACTAGCCCTTATGTGCGTTCCCAGGGTCCAGCATGCCCTGTTGCTGCTTCCCGCACTAGCCCTGAGATGCGTGTCCTCAGCCCGGTACCTCCAGTTCCGGCACCACGCATCAGGCCTACGGTGCGTCCCCAGGGCCAAGCATGCCCTGTTGCTGCTTCCCGCACTAGCCCTGAGATGCGTGTCCTCAGCCCGGTACCTCCAGTTCCGGCACCACGCATCAGGCCTACGGTGCGTCCCCAGGGTCCAGCATGCCCTGTTGCTTCTCCCCGCACTAGCCCTGAGATGCGTGTCCTCAGCCCGGTACCTCCTGTTCCGGCACCACGCACCAGGCCTACGATGCGCCTCAGACGGCCAGAGCCTGCCGTCTGCCCAACGGGGCCTGAACTGTCCGTCTGCCCAACGCCGTCTGAACTGCCCGTCTGCCCAACGCCGTCTGAACTGCCCGTCTGCCCAACGCCGTCTGACCTGTCCGTCTGCCAAGCGCCGCAGGAACTGCCCGTCGGTACTGAGCCTGCAAAGCCGCCCGTCTGCCATGAGCCTTCAGAGCCGTCCGCCAGACCGGAGCCGCTAGAGCTCTCCGCCAGACAGGAGCAGCCGGAGCCTTCCGCCAGACAGGATCAGCCAGAGCCTTCCGCCAGACAGGAGCAGCCAGAGCCTTCCGCCAGACAGGATCAGCCAGAGCCTTCCGCCAGACAGGATCAGCCAGAGCCTTCCGCCAGACAGGATCAGCCAGAGCCTTCCGCCAGACAGGATCAGCCAGAGCCTTCCGCCAGACAGGATCAGCCAGAGCCTTCCGCCAGCCAGGATCCGCCAGAGCCGTCCAGCCAGGATCCGCCAGAGCCGTCCAGCCAGGATCCGCCAGAGCCAGCCAGCCAGGATCCGCCATTCAGTCCGGTGCTGCCCCTTAGTCAGGTACTGTCCCTTAGTCCGGTGCTGCCCCTCAGTCCGGTGCTGCCCCTTAGTCCGGTGCCGCCCCTTAATCCAGTGGGGTTTAGTTGGGGGGTGGTCAGGTGGAGGGGGCTACGGAAGCGGATAGTGACTAAGGTGGGGTGGGGACCACGACCTGGGCCAGAGCCGCCACCATGGACAGACGCCCACCCAGACCCTCCCCTAGACTGTATGCTGGTGCGCCCGGAGTTCGCACCTTTAGGGGGGGGTACTGTGACACTCTGGCTCCAGGGACTCTGATTGTTGAGCCAGGGTTGTTATTTTCATTTAGGGTGTATTTCTATGTTGGATCTAGTTGTTCATTTCTATGTTTGGTTTTGTTGTTGATTAGTCATATGACTCCCAATCGGAGGTAACGAGTGTCAGCTGTCGGCTCGTTATCTCTGATTGGGAGCCATATTTAAACTGTGGGGTTTCACCTGGGTTTTGTGGGTTTTTGTTCCATGTTTCTGTCAGTGTTACAGAGGACTTCACTATCGTCATTTGTTGTTTTTCGTGGTTGCTTTATTAAATAAAAGTCATCATGTTCACTCCA